CACTACAAAGGTAAAAGTGCAGCACAGTACACCTGATGAAGGCCGCTTGTGTTGTGGCCGAAACGTCGTGATTTTTGTTGTTATTTTTTTACCTACGTGACTTTTCCGAATAGAACCAAAGAGTATAGTACACAGTAATTCAATGCACATGTGCTCTTTGCTATAACTATAACAACTGCACACACGCACACATATACTCACTCTGACTATAGATCCTTTACTGTGATGCTACCGGCAGGCAGTAGGCTGAAAAGATGCCCAGCTGAGTATTTGAATCAAGTACAATCAACAGAAAAGTTAAGCTCAGCAGGCGTGATCACCAGAACTGACATTATCTCTGGCAGTGCAAGAAAACTGCATTCCAGGTGTGACATACCATCAAAGCCTATCTGTTTGTTTATAAAAGCCCTGATGGAGTCTTTCCTGTTTTTATGAATCACACAGATCTACATGCTACGTGCTTTGTACCACTTTTAAAGCTTTTGTTTGGAAGAACCCATTCTAAAAAGCTGAAACATTTAAATGTGTGAAACTACACAACGCAGTAAATGTATCTTGCTTGAGCAAATCCTGCAACTACTTTAAATTTCAAACTGAAATTGATAATGAATAGTAAAATATAAATCTGTCTAAAGATTAACGTTTCCTTTTGACATTGTTCAGAAACATGGTCATTGATTTATATATTAAAAAAAACATCTATCACACCTGACGAGTGCTCAGATATGCATGAAGAGACGCATACTTGGAATTACATTAAGAAGAGTAGGTTGGCTTGGGCAGAACACGTCTCTACAAGGGATGATGGCCATAATTAACAAAAATGATGGATCTTCTTTGGTTCTTTCGGTAAAGTCACGTAGAATGAGAATAAAATAATCAATTAATAAAATAACACAATAAAATACTCACGACGTTTCGGCCACAACACAAGCGGCCTTCATCAGGTGAAGGGACGAGACTGTCTGGAGGACAGCGCTGGAGCTGTCAGCGCTGGAGCTGTCCTCCAGACAGTCTCGTCCCTTCACCTGATGAAGGCCGCTTGTGCTGTGGCCGAAACGTCGTGAGAATTTTATTGTGTTATTTTATTAATTTATTATTTTATTCTCATTCTACGTGACTTTACCGAAAGAACCGAAGAAGATGAATCCTTGCAGTCACGAAAGCTTTAAATCGAAATGATGATGGAGTGACAGCCAGAGAGAGGAACACGTCCGAGAGGTTGTCCACGGAACATGTGGGAGCGATGAAATTAGCTCGTGTGCAAGGTGCTAGGTCAATTACAATAATTGCAGAAGAACGAAGAGATACTGATGGCTTCGAGTGGACTACACCCAGCAGTGGATGGAACCGGACTAATGATGGTGATGAGGCGTACCTGTATTAGTTTAAATACAATTATTAGACAGCGTACGACTAAAGGATAAAATACGTGTTTTTGCCATGTATTTGAAATGTAAAGTGAGATGTTTGTGAAATTAAGTGCAATCTAACTGAAGACATCTGTTGCCGGATGACCCTCTTCCAAACGCCCCTAAAACACAAGTGATATTGATCAGCGCATAGAATATTATTTTAAAAGATTTTCTTTTAGTTCTGTCCGTAGCCGTGACGAGGCTCACAGATGCACCATATCACTACAGTTCATGTTTATGATCGGTTAGATTGATAAATAATTTAAACCAACCCTTTGCGGCTCAAACACTACAGCATCCTTTAAATACTGGCCTAAACAACATGAAAAAAAGGTTCCCTTCCATTTCCAGTGAGTGTGCCTGCACAAACACCACAATTATATCACGATGTGACATTTTCATTCTATTTTATAAAACAACTAGCTTTACTACCCGGCTTCGCCCGGGACTTGGATTCACCACGCCCGGCCGCCTTTGTCCCCCCAGTGGCGATGTTCACACAGCACCCCAGTTACTCGTTTTAGGCTGAGTCGACCTAGGGGAGGCCCAGGACCGATGTTCACACAGCACCCCAGTTACTCGTTTTAGGCTGAGTCGACCTAGGGGAGGCCCAGGACCGGTTCAAATAATCGTCACCGGTGGTGGCCGTGAGCAGGAATCGAACTCGGGTCGCCGAGTTCGTAGCGCAGCGTAGCGCTAACCACTACACTACAATACGTTACACTTACACACACACACAGACATACACACACACAGACAGACATACACACACACACAGACACACATACACACAGACACACACAGCGCGCTAACCACTACACTACAATGCGTTACACTTCCACACACACACACAGATATACACACACACAGACACACACACAGACACACACAGACACACATACATACAGACACACATACAGACACACAGACGCACACACAGACACACACACTGACACACACACACAGACACGCACACACAGACACACACAGACACATACACAGCGCGCTAACCACTACACTACAATACGTTACGCTTCCACACACAGACAGACAGACACAAAAAGATCCCCCATATAGCCTTAACAGACTGTAGGGGCAAGTACTGTTAGCGAGCACCTATGAAGGCCGGAACGGTACACGAGGGGGTGGGTGGCCAGCACCACGCCCGACCGCCTTTGTCTCCCTAGTGGCGATGTTTACACACCGCACCAGGTACTCATTTGAGGCTGAGTCGACCTAGGGGAGGCCCGGGACCGGTTCAGAAAATCGTCACTGGTGTTGGCCGTGAGCGGGAATCGAACCCGGGTCGCCAGGTTCATAGCGCAGCGTAGCGCTAACCGCTACACTACCGCTCCCCACACACTACACACACAGACAGACACACAGACAGACAGATACACACACAGACAGACACACAGACACACACACAGACACACACACACAGGCAGACACACAGACACACACACATAGACAGACACACACACAGACAGACACAGACACAGACAGACACACACACAGACACACAGGCAGACACACACACAGACACACACACATAGACAGACACACACACAGACACACTACACTACAATGCGTTACGCTTCCACATGCGCAGGTCACGTGACAGATTTGACGTCACAGCTCACTTGCCGTGCAAAAAAATATAGTAAAACCTTGGATTGCGAGGAGCATAATTCGTTCCAGAAACGTGTTTGTAATCCAAAGCACTCGTACATCAAAGCACTCGGTACATCAGTTGTGATCACGTGACGCTCGGCAGACAAAGCCTATATGTATTACTTGTATTGCAAGACCTCGCTCGTTTATCAAATTAATATGTATTTAAAAATGTTTGCTCATCTTGCAAAACACTCGCAGACCAAGTTACTTGCAATCCAAGGTTTTACTGTATATGCATTATTGAGCTCCCCCCCCCCCAAAAAGTGTATTTTTATAATTTTTGCATGGTGTACTGTGTGGAAAGTACCCACATGGCAAATTTCAAGTTTGTTGCATGTCGGGACGTACGCTAAACATTTTGAACAGACACACATAATCACAACTTTGCCTTATATATATGGAGATGTTATGTTACGTAATCCAGAAGCCCAATATGCCATACTTCCCCATGCTCTTACTGTACATTCAACTGTCGAGTGGACATTTGGCACAGCAAAGCCCGAAGGATGTTTGGAATGTACCTATCCTATTTTTTCTCCAAACCTGATCACCAAATTCAAATATTAGTAGAAAACTCCGACCAATTGTCTATGTCCCGTGATCGGATCCACTGCTCTCCAGTTGCTACGATGATTTAAGAGATGCCAAGCAAACAGGACTAATGTAAACACATCTGTTGCCTTTGGTGTCGCATTCCATATAACAAGCCGCTTTTCAATTTGAATTCTCTCCATACGATGTGTACACACAAGTATATGTACAGTACACCCGTTTGCTCATCTGTGTGCTTTAAATGTAACAGATAAGCTTTTGGTTTTCTAAGGTTTGATGTTAACAAACTAAAAAGTAAGATAAAATAGTGCACCATCAAACGGCGTTAATACCCAAAGTACTGTCCACACATTACAACGGGATGAAAAAAGGACTCTTAATGTCTTCCATACGCGGAAAGGCAAATGGGAATACTGCCACCTATGGCTTTTTGCTGAAGCAGCGTGGCCAAACAGCACATCTGTCTTACGACAGAAGGGCCCAACGCTAATTGTCCCTGGCAAAATTTAGTCCACAACCTTGAATTGAGGTATGGATAGCAGGTCCCTGCAGGGTGGGCTGGTAGAAGTTCGTAAATGAGATAATGTGACTTCCAAATGTTGGGTGCAATAAGACATATCAAGTCTCTGCGCTGTCTATTGCTGATTTTACACCCAACAGCACGAGATTTCACTTCGTTAATGAAAGGGGACGGACGGACACAATAATCTATTGCAGGCTGGTACACTCAGTTTACAACTTCGTTCCTACCAGTATAATTGCTTAATAGGGTAGCTATATTTCTTCAATCCAAGAGAAACCCGTCGAGAGGATGTTTATTTTAAAATGGAGCCCTGAAATCAACAAATGTTGTTGGGTATAGAACGCCGTTGTGAAACCATTCATGCAAAATTGTTAAACAACTTAAACGCTAACCACATTGGGTTGAACAAGATCAATACATATACTGTAGTGCCTTTCAGGTTGAAATGTACTTTTTTTTTAAATACTGTATCTCAAAACGTACGGTACCGTTTGACAAGCAGAATGTAACAATACGACACTTAATTGTAATAACGTTAACTTTTTAAGCCACAAGCAAAACCATATCTGCTGTCATCATAATGAAAGTGCCCAATTATACTAACCGACTCTGTGAACATGTTTCCAAGTACAATCCACGCACAAAGCACTCACGTCTCACGCTCGGGAGCCGTGGAGCCACGAGGCACCTCGTCTCACTACTCTGGCAGCCGCAGCAGGCGCACGGGGGACCGGGTGTCCACACCTGTACCTGTCCCCCCCCACCCACCATCACTCATCATCTTTACCTTGCACCCGCAGGGTGGCACTTGTCGGTGCGGAATTCCCTCTCACCTTAAACCACCGGTGTCTCTTGCTCATCAAGACGCGTGAGAATGCAAATAAATGAATTTGCCCATGTGATGATGGATAATTAAGCTATTGAGTGAAGCCTCCTGAATTTTCTGTCCTCGCCCCCCCCAATGCCCCCATTATTTTCACCGTATCGTACAATTGCCCGGCCTTGCAAGGAGGTGGGGTGCCCTCCACCTTGACTTGCTGGTGCCCAATCGAGAAGGCACGCCGAGTGTCAACTCACCTAGCGGGGAGGGCCTCCCACTCACTTGTGAGTGGTGGCCAAGGCTACTCTTTTCACTGTTAGCACCACCCCTCTGTGGATAAACCCCACCCCGGAGGAAAGTGTTATTGCAGGGTTTCCACACGAGAGGATTTTAACTCTAAATATTGAAAGTCTGTGTGTATTTTTTTTTGTTCGTTTAAATTGAGAGTAAGGTAATTTACATGGGTTCTCTCCGCTTGAGATCGCGTTGCATTTGAGTCATTCAAGAGTTTTTATTTATTTAATATTCAGCGCTTATATTTAACACTATTTGTTGTAAAATCAAATTGTAATCCCTGCCCGTACGATAGGTAGAGGCAATGGCAACATTGATTTGAATATATTCAGCCATTTAAATGAAACATGTAAAGCGTATGAGGCTGGGGAGCAACCTATCCCTTGTATGCTGCTTATGTGTACATCTATATGTACACGGGTAAAATTGTTATCTTGACACGTTCTCTTCACATAATTTAAAGCAGTGTTCACTAATTTTCAGAGGTGGTGGGGGGGGGGTTACTTTCGCCGATAAGACATCATCAGTGTTCAGGCCCGCCACACATTTGAACCATTGGGTTTGTGACGGTACGATAGGGGGGGTAGCTGCTCACCCAATTCTCGCATTGTCTTTGTATTGTTCGCCTTTTGGCATTCTCTGGTCTGACACTGGTGAAACCAGGCCCTGAATAAAGCTGTCACTGGTGCAGGCCAATCAGTTTGAAAGACTGTATATTATCAGATCATGTTTTTGTTTGCATGTTCACCACATGTACGTGTGGTTAACGCAGACATGATTCCTTGCAAAAAGGCTTCTATTTGGTATTTGAACATCTTAACACCTGTTTTATTTCCAGTAAAAACCTCTTATTTTTTAATACGATGGGGGGTGTTTTGACATTTGTGTATTGTCGGGGAGGGGGGGGCACGTCTGGTGCTCCACTAAAGGCCACCAGGGGGGCTGCTAAGTCGCCCGCGGGCATTGCAATGAAGATAACACCGATTTAAAGGCAACATTTTTGCCCCAGGTCTGGTAACAACAATGAAAGTGTCTCAACCGCGCCTCCCAAGTGGCTGGATCCCAACTAAAATTCCCCGCCACATTCCCCACGCTGCCGTGAATCCGACCTTAATTCCCAGAGGTCCTCCACCCACCCCTCAACACACACAACCTCTCACCCTCAGCTGCCCGGATATTTGCTGCCACCGATGTCAGAATTAGATTGTTCAACAACTAAAAAACATTTAAATCGGAGAAGCAATCCGATGAGCTATGAAGCTCTTTTTCACGGATGTCCAGTATGGGCTGGTCAGCAAAGGTGCAACAGCAAACAATAAAAAAATAACAATCGGAATTCAAAAGAGAGAAAACGGTAAGCAAATCAGTAAACATAATTAGTTGATTATATAGGTCCGATTAAGATTGGGCAAGGCAGCAAAAACAACAACAATAACAGCACAGTCCCAGGCCGAGCCCCTCAACGAGATAACACACAGGCAGTAACCTCAATTAAGCGGCACAATTTAGGTTTGAGTTCAGTTTGTACGCCTTGCCGCATTCATGCCGAGCAATCGAATGACCACAATGTCAGTGATCAATGCCCTCTGGCCGTGAACCAACACACCAACTGGAATAGGCACCTAGGTCTAGGCACCTAGGTCAGGGTACCCGTGTCTATGCATTGGTGGTTCAGTGGTAGAATTCTCGCCTGCCACGCGGGAGGCCCGGGTTCGATTCCCGGCCAATGCAGCGTTTTTTTAAAATGTTTTTTTATTTTATTCTGTCATAATACAATTACCCAAAGTCCTGGCTGTTCGCTCGAGTGTCACGGAGCGAGTCGTCGCATACGCTGCGATTAACAGGGCACAATAATACAACGCGAAATCGCGTTGTATTGGTAATACTTGGGCCTTCCCCACAGCCTTCCTCGTCCGCCCTTTGGAAAGCGCTGCTCGCTCCTGCAGCTGCTGCTGCCTCCTACCGACGGACTCGTTCAAGTCTGGGGCACGACGAAGCGCAACGCCGACTTGCAAAACAACGTTTAAAAATTCTAGATTTGAAGCTTTCGTGACTGCAAGGATTCATAGTCTTTGGTTTTATTCGGTAAAGTCACCACGTCGGTACAGAAGCCAAGGATGGCGGCGGCGGCAGCGGCGCAAGTCCAGGGCCGCGTTCTTCACCGCCTCCTGTTGTTGTTGTTGCTTTGCCTTTCGCCGAAGGTAGGACGGTGACGATGCCCTTCTCTACGCCTTTAACGTCGTAGGCGACGCAAATCGGTGTGGGGGTGTGGGGGTGTTTGGATGGTTTAAACTCTCTCTACATTCCTCTAAACCCACGCTGGGCGACAACGCGCATGTAAATCCCCGTGACAAGTCAACCAGCTGCGCTTTGCTAAGAGCCGGCGACAGTGACACCACGTATATGTATTGGTATATGTATTGTACCGTGGCGAATGCTGACTTTTAAAAAACAAACAAACAAACTAAACAAACTCACGCTGTTTAAGAATGCACATGTAGCAGTTTGTGTTGATTTGTTAACCGACGCAGAACGTGAATCATAGATAACTGTACATACGGAGGACTGTAACAGTAAATCATTCCCAGCAACAACGACCACGAGAGTTGCGTCTCCACTGAACGACAGGGCACGGCTTTCGTGATAAGCGTCGTGCATGTTGTTGTTGCTGATGCTGCTGTTGTTGCTGATGCTGCTGCTGTTGTTGTTGTTGCCAAGCAGGCCTCGTGTGCCCAGTCGTTTGGGATCGACCGTGCCAGAGACTGCTTCGTCAAGGATGGAGAACCCTTTCGTTACATCGCCGGCAGCCTGCACTATTCCCGGGTGCCACGAGTCTACTGGAAGGACCGCTTGCTCAAGATGTACACCACTGGCCTCAATGCTGTCCAAACGTTAGTTTCGCTTTCGTTATTACAATAAGTACAAGTTTGGGTTTTTGTTGTTGTTGTGTTGTTGTTGTGCGTCCGGTTATAAAAATGCGTTGAACGCATTGTCACAAGAAATTTGAAGACAATGCTTCACCATCGTATTTTACTCTTAAGGAATGTTAGCCAGACGGTGCTGCTCCGCTAGATAAAGCGGTACGTTTATCTGAAATAGGCCTTTTTTAAAATAATAATTAAGAAAGTTTGATGCGAGCAACAGATGTAACCGAGGAGTGGCTGCATGCGCGACTAATGCAGTCCATGTTTCGTGTTAAAAATGTATATATATAAACTGCTCCACTGCCCAAAAAAATGTAATCCACGTCTGCTCTCGTACTGTACTCAACAACGAGAAAGCATACCATACCGTGTTACAGAAAACACAAGAGACCGAACGAACACGGCCAAGTCAGCCCACAGTTTTTAGTTTCAGTTTTTTTTATTTTTCTATAGCCCCGTGAGCCATTCGGCCCCTTTGAATCGGGTGCAACCGCAACAAACAAAAAAACCCACAAAAACACGAACAAGAAAAACATCTTAAAGTGACTGTGTCAAGTGTAAATATGACTGTGCCAACACTGCCATTCCTGTGCACGACGACGCAGGTATGTGCCGTGGAACTACCATGAGTCCAAGCCTGGCGTGTTTGAGTTCTCCGGAGAGAAAGATTTGGAGGAATTCATCCGGACAGTGAATGAGACCGGACTGCTTCTAATCCTGCGACCAGGGCCATATATCTGCGCAGAGTGGGACATGGTGCGTGCCGTGTGTCTATGTGCTACAGCACAATCCTGGGTTCTAATTCCCACCCCTCCCCAGGTCGTTGTTCCTGCTATGTGTGGTGTAATATTAAACCGTAAATTTTCGTCCTATGGAGGGGAGGAAAATAGTTTACTAATAAATAAGCTATTGTGTACGTGAAAACAAATGTAACCTGTGCAAGCATACTTTTTTGATGAAAACCAATGCGGAGTTTGTAATTTAATTCAATGGCAGGATTGTGTTACTGAATCTTTGCAAATGTGTAACTTATTCAGGGTGGCCTGCCGGCCTGGCTTATACAGAAACGAGGCATTGTTCTACGCTCCTCTGACAAAGGTGATCTATCAAAGCCTGCACATGTGCTTTAAGATCTCTGCTCTGTACTTTATATGTATTTAACATTGTTTTTCATGAACGCCTGCTAACGTCTATTTTTCAAATTAAATGTTTTATCACAGAATACCTCAAGGCCGTGGATAGCTGGATGAGTGTCCTGTTGCCCAAAGTAAAGCCATGGCTTTACCAGAATGGAGGACCAATCATCACTATTCAGGTACAATCAACCTGTTGTAAAATACACAATGCTGTCTAACATCGGAATACGGTCTGAACTGTTTGTGTTTGACATGACAGGTGGAGAATGAGTATGGGTCGTTTGGTTGCGACATGGAGTACATGCGGCACCTCACAGAGGTGTTCCGCTCTAAACTGGGCAGGGACGTTGTCCTCTTCACCACGGACGAACCCTCGCTACACTCGCAGTCATGTGGATCCCTCCAAGACCTCTATAGCACCATTGACTTTGGCATCGGTATGTGGCATGCAGGTAGCCCCGACACTTCAGATGTGCTCTGTGGATACACATCACAAGATGCTGCAACAGACGTTTTAAATTACTGTAGTTGTAAAAAAATGTGTTTATTAAATGACGTTTCATAATAATTGCAACCGAATCTTGTCTTAAATGTGATTGCATGTATAATCGAATATATATCTCCAGATTGCACTTGGCAGAAACAATATAGTCGATTGCTGGATCTATACTATTCTCGAGTCTGTAATGTAGGAGTTAATATGGTATTGTTGGCTCATAAGACCCTGTGAAAGTCACATATTTGTGGTGAAATGTATCACAAACCACGAGAGTACGAAATGTGTTTTGTGTATCAACAGAAACCAACATAACCCAGGCATTTGAAATGCAACGGAAGTTTGAACCCAATGGTCCTTTGGTAAGTAGAAATATTTAAAAGGTCCAAATAAAACGCGTAAAAAGCAATTAATTCAAATAAAATCGAAATTATTTTCAAAGAACAACTTATTTATATTTAGACAAGATAATATTTTGCCAATGGTGGTCATCCTCAGCATATAATCTATATTAGCAGCAATCCCATAACAGTCTTACCCATCAGCCAAGTTCAAACCAGTTCTAACCAGATCTAACTGGTTCAAACCGGTTCAGGCCGGTTCAACCCGGATCAAACTGATCCACGTGCTTTTGTCTCAGTGTAATTCCCAGCTATGCCGATGTCCATGTCTCGTTGCATAATTTTAATTTTATTCATAATTTACTTGTCACCGTCCATGTTTAGGATCCATTTCATAGGCAACAAAATACATTCGTGTAATTTGTGAGGAACTTGGGTGATGTTGAAGGCGTCGTGTCATCGCTAATCATTTGGAAATGAGTATTATACTATATCACCCTATGCTATTACTGCCACATCCTTACGATTGTGTTATCCAATTATGTAATTAATGCTCTCAAGCTGTGAAGCATAACAATAGTCATGTGGTCATGGTTCAGTTCAGTTTATTTTGAAGTACACTGTGAACTAAGAAACTCTTAAGTCGGGTTTCATCAATAAAAAAACAACGTTTCTGTGACAGACATAACACATAAGAGAAAAATAAATGAATAATGAAAATGAATAACAAAAATGTAAGGAATTATATTTCAAATGTAAAAAAAATATATCTTTAAAGTTTTAGCCAATGAAGGAATCAAAAACGTGCACGATTAGGCATAAAACGTGCCAGTGGTAAAACACACCTTTTCCAATAAAAAATATATAAATGCGCCATCAATCAACAATGACATTTCACCGAGCAAAACACAGCATCATTAAAAAATAGTAGCGCTGACAAGGCACAAGACAAAGAGGTCACTTGCAAGCAAACGATGTCCACACATCGTCTAGTTATTTATACAGTGGCAGCTATGCAGGAATTCACTGTAAATGAGTTATTTCAAGTGACTCAATGACGGTAGTGAATGTAGATCTAATCTTGTGACAATATTATTCCAAAAACAAGGCACAGTCGCTGTTAAAGCCCGTTTACCGAAACTGGATCTACATCTCGTAACATTCAATAGAAAGAATAATTAACTCATTAGGTTTGATCTGCCTTCCCGCGGTGTCAACAGATCAAACAAATATTGTGCTGATTTGCCACTAAGGATATAAACACGGCCTGGTGAATCGTTCTGCTGTCATGGAGGGATGTTAGATGAGCTGTTTATACAGGTCGCAATGATGGGTCTTATAGGGGGCATCTTGAGCAAATCTTAGAGCAGAATGATATATAGGGTTAAGCTTGTTTCAAGTTTCATTTATTAGGTATAGCCCTGTGAGCCATGCGGCTCTTGAGTCGGGTGCAATCGCAACAAACAAAATATGAACAGAGAACATCTTAAAGCAACGACGTGCGACAGAAACATCCTGGATAAACCAGCAAATCTTGCAGAAAAAAAACCGTATTACAACACTGTGTGCAAAAATCCCAGTGTGATGCAAGACAAACAATAACAACCATAAGACAATTTTGATTCGTTTAACTGGAAGCAGAATGGTAGAAAACGTTGCAGTAATCATATAAACACAGT